TAGACAGGCCCCACCCTACCCCGTCCCTATGGGATAAACTCCTCCCCTGCCCAGGTCCCCTACAGCAGGGCCAGCTGCACCTCCTGGTCTTCAACCTAATGGCTTTCACCTCCCCACCAGCCCATTCGATTATTCAAACCAGCCCAGGCAACCTCCTGCAGGACCCAGGGGACTCCCTGCCCTCTTATCACAATAAAGCCTGCCTGGCCGGCGCCGCAGCTCAATAGGCTAATCCTCCGCCTGCGGCACCAGCACACCGGGTTCTAGTCCCGGTTGGGACACCGGATTCTGTCCCGGTTGCCCCTCTTCCAGGCCAGCTCTCTGCTGTGGCCCGGGAGTGCAGTGGAGGATGGCCCAAGTGCTTGGGCCCTGCACCCCATGGGAGACCAGGAGAAGCACCTGGCTCCTGCCATCGGATCAGCGCGGTGCGCCAGCTGCAGCATGCCATCCGCAGCGGCCATTGGAGGGTGAACCAACGGCAAAGGAAGATCTCTCTCTCTCTCTCTCTCTCTCTCTCTCACTGTCCACTCTGCCTGTCAAAAAAGCAAAAACAAAAAAACAATAAAGCCTGCCTGTCCCAGCTCCTGCTGGCTCACTGAGCTCCAGGCGCAGCTCTGAGTGTACTACCATGGGTCCTTGCCCGGCATGTGGGGTCCTCCTCCCTTGAGCAAAGTGCAGCCCAGCCTCTCTGCCCATTGTCAAGTGGACTCAGGCATCTGCCACCGTCCATGTCAGAGGAGCCAACATTCACTTCCAGAAGTGGCCAGAATGTGTAACTCGGCAAGACTGAGGATTCTGGAACCCACCAACATTCTAAGTCTTGAGGCCTCTGGGAAGGGGGTCCTCCTGGCAGTCCTGAATGGTGGTGCCTGGGCTGCCAATCACAGGGAGAGGCTGAGGCTCTGACCACAGAAGAACTTGACCAGGAGGAGATAACATTTAGGGTCTTCTGGGGTCTCAGACCCCAAGACATGGCTGTCTTCACTGTACCTCATCAGACGTGCCCCTTGAGGGGCCATGGCAGATACTGCATCTATTTTCATGCTATGGGAAGTGGCTAGTCCAAGTCCAAGGTCACACAGATGCAGATACATTATCATCAGCACCAACCCTGCACCTTGTAACCTCTGGATGCCCATGGAATTTGCTCCTGGGGCTGAGCAGATTCCCCCCTCCCAGACTCATCAGATTCACCCTGGTAAAATGTCTACAGCGTCCTTCCAGACTGTGAGCTCCCAACAAGGGCTACAGAATCCAGAGGCTAGCCTTGGGCATGAGGGCGTGTCTCCTGGGAAACCCGGCATGAAGAGCCAGTTGTCTTGTCCTAGTTCACTTGACCTTGGCTGTGTCCCTGCTGGGCTGATAGACAGTGGTGAACAGGAGTAGACGATTCCTTGCAAGTGGGAATACCCTGAATCCTTAGCTGCAAAGGTAAACTTCGGTTGATTGCCATTTTCTCCTGTTCTCTGTGTGGGGAACTGGGGACTGCCAATCGGAGGCCTGAACTGGGGGCCAGGGCTGGGTAGCTTTGGCCAGCTGGGGTCTGATCCTCACACATGCATCCTGTGGACACAGAGAGCCCCTGATCTCTGCACATTAGTGTCTGAGCTTCAGTCGACATGGAACCTGGTTCGCTGGCAGGGAGAAATTGGGCCGGGAGGCAGGAAAGTGACCAGCAGGTCAGATCGACTTTTCCTGTACCCCAAGCCTGTGGGAACCTGGGCATTTTAACGGGCAAGACAGCCAGCTCTCCTGGTTAGTTCTGATTCCAGATGCTAACACAATGCTCTTTCGTACCCTCAGAACAAGTCCACTTCCAAGCTGCGGCTGCTGTCTCTGATTTAGCTAATCCCCATTACACAGATCGAGAAACTGAGGCTTGTCATGAGGACTTGCTTAAACTGTCAGCATAAGGCTGAAAGACGAATCTGACCCGTATGCTGGGAATGGTGCTGCTTTAGTCCAGCTCCCTGCTGAGCACCTGACTCGGGCGACTCACAAGACCAGGAGCTGCTCTGGTCTGTGGTGCTTGTAGTCAGGAAAGGACAACCATGGGAACCTGGGCCCTTCCCACATCAGAACAATGTCACAAACTGGTTTCCTGTGGGGTCCAGCCCCCTTCTTGCCTGGATCTCCTCCAGGAAGCCCCTGCTCTGCAAAACCAGAGATGCCAGGTTCATAGCCCTGTACTCCTTTGTACCTGCCTGACCTTGGCCAGGCTCCCCTTGAGGCCACAGCCAGATGTTACCCAACTGAGCACAGAGAGAGGCGAGGGAGCCAGAGCTGCTTGGGTAGCAGCCAGGAGTGGGGTGAGGCAGATGGTGACGGCTTTGCACTCCTGGAGGACCTACTTTTGGCTGAGGATCCTGGGGAGGCCACTGTCCTTCAGCAAAAGGCACAGCTCCTTGCTGATTTCAAGTTTCGTCCACACTGCCACCTGCTTAATTGGGTCACACACAGGTCTATCTGTCGTGAAAATCAATTCATTTGGGAGAGCAGACATTTCCTGGCTTCCTATGGAGACCCACAGAAACTCTAAGGATGCTGTAGGAACTGGGCTTCTCATCTACCTGATGAAAAGGAAGTGCCACAGCAGCGGGATAGCTGTCTCTCCTTCCCTTGTCTCCGAGGTGGGGACCTGTTCTCTTCTCTCTCTGGAAGCTCAGTGGCAGGCAGAACAATGCCTGCTCGAGTAAAGGCCATTTCCTGCTGACAATGTTCATGCCTTGCTCAGGTCCCAGAGCTTCCGCAAAGAAAAGCCTCCTCCCCAAGACCTCCTGGCCTGCGGAGCACAAAGCACCACCAGATCTGCTGCTGGGTGAGATTTAACAAGGTTGGCCAGTCTTTGCTGCCTCAGAGAGGAGAGGATCCAGGAAGGAAGAGATGCCTGACCCCCACGCAGGGGAAAGAGCTGGATGGCCAGTTTCAAGCTTGCCAAAGGTCTCTGAGACAGGGTAGGGGAAAGATGGGGCTCCCTGCACCGATTCCTGAGTTAGCAGGGGCACCACATATCCTCTCTGCTCTTCCTGGAGGAGCTGGAAGGCAGGTGGCTACTGAGCTAAGTGGAAAGAAGTATCTGGGATAGGATTCCAGCAATCTCCTTGTTTTAGCAGATAAGAGGGCAGGCAAGTGGGAAAGTCACAGGTAGAGCGAGGTTTGGGCTCCCCCAGAGGTCTCTCAGTGGCCATGGCCCAGCCGATGCAGTGTGCACAGGGCTCTGTCATCACTAAAATCACTTCTGGGAGTCTCGTGGTAGCTCGGGGCACATCTTGTGAGAAGCTACACAGGCATCGTCCCTTCCGGAACCCCCAGCGACAGCACCAGCTGAACACTCCCTGACTGCTGCGGGAAGAGGCAACAGGAGGTCAGGATTCGCTCCCACCCCTTCCATCCAATGAGGCTCGGGCTTGGGAAAGGAAAGGAAGGAGGGGCTGTGGAGATGTCTGGAAGGGGATCCCAGGGGTCACCCCTAGGGTTTCTTTTTTTTTTTTTTTCTGACAGGCAGAGTGGACAGTGAGAGAGAGACAGAGAGAAAGGTCTTCCTTTGCCGTTGGTTCACCCTCCAATGGCCGCCGCGGTCAGCGCGCTGCGGCCGGCGCACCGCGCTGATCCTATGGCAGGAGCCAGGAGCCAGGTGCTTTTCCTGGTCTCCCATGGGGTGCAGGGCCCAAGCACCTGGGCCATCCTCCACTGCACTCCCTGGCCACAGCAGAGGGCTGGCCTGGAAGAGGGGCAACCGGGACAGAATCCGGCGCCCCAACCGGGACTAGAACCCGGTGTGCCGGCGCCGCAAGGCGGAGGATTAGCCTAGTGAGCCGCAGCGCCGGCCCCCTAGGGTTTCTAGAAAATCCTGGACGCCCCAGTGCCATCTGAAGCCTGGCTTGCCTTTTGGTGGGGAGGAATATGACTCTATGCACTGATTTTAACAAACTGAGATGGGAAAGGGGAGGTGTGGCAGTCTCTCTCCACAGCCGTTTGCCCCCTGAAGAAAAGCAAGTGGTGATGTGGTGGCCAGGCTGGACAGGCGAGGACCAGACTTGTGCGCCTGTGCTGGGGGCAAAGGAAGAGAGTCTAGGACTGCGATCTGGACCTGGTTTGAAGCTGGCAACGGAAGGGATAAGAGTGGAGTACTCAGTCCTAAGCCAGCATTCCGGCCAGAAAAGGAGGAAGCCACGGAAGGGCAGAGGCTGGAGCTATCCAGACGATGGTGCTGAAAACAGAGAGCGCTGGCCAAGAGGGCACAGAGCAGCCAGCCAAGCTCGCACCTCTGTCCCTGGTGAGAAGGGGTGAATGGAAGGGGTTTCCTCCCCACCTCCTTCCTACTCATTCTCCAAGGAGGGAAGGGCACAAGCCAGCTGTGGTCACAAGGCAGGTGGAGCTCTGGGAAGTGTGCAGTTGCCCTAGGCTGCGGCTAGCCTGCGGAAAGAGGGCCACGGCCGGGCTGGGAGGAGGGTGCCATTTGGCCCAGCTGCAGAAGATAAGCAAGGAAGACCCTGAATCTGGGTTGGTCCTTTGCTGGTCCCCTACACTCTGAGCCAGTACCGAGGTGCACAAGGTGTCCTCATGTGTATGACACAGACACGCATGCACAGCGGACTTGCGTGGGTGCTAACCCACCCGTGGACACCCGGAACACACTCCCAGAACAGACACGCACGCAAGCAGTCCTGCACCCGCACCCGCGCCCTACACACGCTGGAGCTCCAACCCCGAATCCCCGTGGCCGTCTGGCCTGGTCATCCCTCCCACTTTGCCTCCTGGCCTCAGACGGCGCCCCCATGGGAAGCCCCAATTCTAGCCTGAGACCGAGGAAGGCGCCGAAGTGGAGCAGCCAGCCAGCTCCTCCGCCCAGAAAGAGGTGGCGAGACAGGAGGCTGGCAGGTCTCAGACACCCCCCTTCTTTCCCCAAACTCCCAGCAAGGTGCCAGGACACAGAGGTGTGTGGACGGGAGTGTGTGTCTCCCTCCCAAACTGGGGACACCCCGAGGACCAGCGCGTACCTGTGCGTGGGAGGCCCCGCGTGGAGCCCCCTCAGCGAGTCCGGACCTGCTGGCTCCTGATTCCCACTGGATAAAGGCAGGGTGGGAGTGGGGGGTTACCCCGTTTGACCTCCACACAGCCTCCTTGGTGTCTGCGGGCTACCGAGAAACTCCGTCTCGGGCGGCGGGAAGTTGCCTGGGTTCAGGCGCTGGGAGGGGGCGCCGTCCGGTCCCTGGGCTGGACCCGGCTCCCGCGCCCCCGCGCGCGCCGCCCTCTCCCCTGGCCAGCGCCCTCCCGCCCGCAGACTGCGCGGAGCCTGGAGCAGCGAGCCCGCCCGCCCTCCCGGAGAGTCTGCTGCTGACCTGCATTGACGTCATTGCGTCATTAGGTTTCCCCTGGAAACACTGGCTCTCCCGAAATAGTAACACATTAATTCAGGCCGGGGAGCGGGGAGAGACTGTTTGTAACCCTGCAGCTAACTCCACGCGCCAGCCAGCGCGCCCCGGCCCCCGCCCCTCCCTGGGGCACCGGCGGCCGCGCTCGCCTACTATTTTGAGAACAAAGGAAGGCAAAATATAGCTCCCCGGAGAGAGGGCGCGGGGGACGCCCGGCCCCTCTGGTCTCACACGCGCGCACACACGCAGACGTTCGCGTGTGTGCACCACGCCTGGGTGGGTCCACCTTCGGCGGGGGCTCCCGATTCCCACCTTTCTCGGGGACCCGCTGGGAGGAGGGGGAGTGTCCCCGGAGCGCAGGTGTCCTGGTACCCATCACCAGGACCCAGCAAGGCAGCGGACCCTCTGCCCTCCATAAACCCATTCCCACCTGTGCACAGGGGCCTGAACCCGGGGGAAGGGGATCTCCCAAGACACCAGACACACCCTGCCCATTCTCCCACAGCTGCGCCGGGCCCAGCGCGCGGGGCATCCAACTGAGCTCTAAACCGCCACCGCGGCTCTCCTCCTGTGCCCGGGGCTGGAGTGCGCTCCCGTGCCTCATTCAGGGAGCAAGAAACTGGGGGATGGGGTTGCGATAACACGCTCTAGAATCGCTTGGGCCAGGGCGCAACCGACTTCCTGTGTGCCACTCCTGCCGGCTCTCGGGTCAGCCGAGGCGGAGCCCTTGGCTTCAGGGGCTCTGATGAGCTCTCCGTCCGTCCCGGGGCCCCGACTCAGTCCCTCTCCAGTATGCTCCTCCAGATCAGAATAGCAGGCCTAAGCGAGGAGGCGGTGTGTGGAGTCTGAGGGCGCCCGAGGGCACGCCCGCGTCCCGAAAGGCTGGGCGGGCTCCCACACTCGGTTGAGTGGGTGTAGGGCCAAGGAGGGCATCTGAGAGAGCTCGGCCTTCCTCTTCCTCACAGAGGCCGCTCAGGAAGTTGCTGAAGGGCGCAGAGAGGCGCGTGTTGTTTTCTTCCACCGTGGGCTGGTCTCCCTTCTCCTGTCTGTAGCAAGGACAAGGGGCAGGGGTGCTGAGGATTCAGGGATGAGGCCCCCAAGGTCACTGACTCTGTACAGGTGCAGAGCCTGGGGCGGTGACTAGGCTCACCCAGCACGCACCTCCCCCAGCCAGGGCGCCTGACACTCAGGATCGCTTTTGATCTGTGTTGACCAGCGAGGATGAGCAGGCAGCCAGGCACCAAAGTACCCCAGCTGAAGCTATCAGGGCGGAGCCAGACCACAGAACAAGTCCTGGGGATGGAGGGGACTGGGAGGGAAAGCCTTGTTAGCCTCTGCTTGGGATGCCAGCATCCTATATGAATGCCAGTTAGTCTCCGCTGTTCTGCCTCCAGTCCAGCTCTCTCTAATGCTCCTGGGAAGGCAGTGGAAGATGGCCCAGGTGCTTGGACTCCTGCCACCCACGTGGGAGACTTGCCCAGGTCTGACCAGAGGGACTGCTTGGGGGAGTGAGCCAGCAGATGGAAGATGTCTCTTCTCTCTGTGTCCCTCCATCACTCTGCTTTTCAAATAAATAACATTAAAAAAAAAAAAAAGAAGTCTGTTGAGGACGGACCTGGCCTTGCCCCTTGGGAGCCCTGTGGTCCCTCCTTCTGCCTGTGCCCTGTCTCCCCTAGCTGCAAGGGCCTCTTCTGCACAACAGGGTCCCCAAGCCCACTGCACAGCTGTGGTGGAGGTGCAGAGAGAAGTTACCTTACACATTGGAGAAATGACGGGCCCTGTTCCTGCCCCCGCCTCTGCCCCTGCCTAGGGTGCTGTCAGCAATGCGTGAACCCGCACTCTTCACCATGTACAAACTCCCTGAGGACTTTTGGGGGAAGCTCATCAAGGGACGCTCTGGGAACAGGGAAGAAGGGCATCTGAGCTCTTCACCTGCCATCATCTATCATTCTGATCAAAAGAAGTTCTGCCATTTTTCCAATTAAAAGAAAACTTTTACTTACTTACTCTGAGTCTGTTATGCTGCTATTCTCGTATTTGAAAGGGAGAGAGACAGAGACAGAAAGACAAAGAGATTTTTTCCAACCTCTAGTTCATACCCCAGATGCCAGCAAGAGCCAAGGCTGGGCCAGGCCAAAGCCAGGAGCCCAGAATTCCATCCAGATCTCCATCTGGACCTGCTATGTAGGTGGCAGGGACTCAAGTACTTGAGCCATCATCTGCTGCCTCCTGGGAGGCGTATAAGCAGGAAGCTGGAATTGGAAACAGAGCCAGGACCCAGAACAAGGCAGTATGTGAAGAGTTATTATTTATTTGAAAGGCAAAGAGAGAGAGAGAGAGATCTTCCATCTACTGGTTCAACTCCATTTGAGTCTCTCACATGGGTGCAGGGGCCTAAGTTCTTGGGCCATTTTCCACTGCCTTCTAGGACACATTAGCAGGGAGTTGGATCAGAAGCAGAGCAGCTGAGACTTGAACCACAGTCTGATATGGGATGCCGACATTGCAGATGGCAGCTTACCCTGCTGTACCACAACACCAGCCCATACTGTACCGACTTAGATGATCACCAAATTCCCACCCCCCAAAAGCAGTTCTTTAATGCCTGACAATGCAAGCTCAGTCAAGTGGCAGTGGGGACTTATAATCCGACTCGGCTTCCATCTCTGTATACTCATTTCCCAGGACATGCACCCAGGCTGTGTGTCTGAGCCCCGTTATCCTTGCCTTTCCTTCACCTTCCGGTCCCACTGCGCTGCAGCCATCAGCTTCCTGTTTGGCTCCTTTTCTGGACCCTGGCAGAGGCCATGTGAAACTCTCCTCTTTTCCCCCAGTTACTCCTGCTACAGTGCCTGGCACCACTGTGAACAAAGATCCAGAGTCCGTTTGGGGAAGCTCCTGCCCCAGCCCCCTGCTCCCAAATATTTACCTCTTGATGTCAAAGGCACCCTGCCCTCCAAGGCCCAGGTCGCATACTGACTCCTCCATGCAGCTCTGTGGGATCCCATGGGGTCAGCTCAGCTGTTGCTAGTCCCCAGACTGCTTGGAAAGGAGGCTTTGATCATTTTTTTTCCTGGACTATCATTCTGTGGAAGCTGTCATCTCCTCTCTGGGTTAGAAGTTCTCAGAGCTGGAAGAGGGTCCTACCCATCTCTGTGTGCTCCATGAGGCTCAGGCGTGCCTGCCAGGCACACACAGGTGCTCAGGGCATGCCTGCTGACTGAACTCCGCAGGTCTGAGGTCTGAGATAGAGCATGCTGTTGACAGTGTTCCCTGTAGACTGGGGCTAACAGAGACCTCAGCCATCTCAGCAGGAGAGGCCCCAGCCCTGGCAGGATTTTGCCTCTGGTCAGCTTGACCTCTGGTGCTAAAAGGTTTTCTACCACGGAGCTGGTGTTGTGGCATAGTGAGTTAAGCCACTACCTACAGTGCCAGCATCCCACAGGGGCATCAGCTCAAGTCCTTGCTGCTCCACTTCCGATCCAGCTCCCTGATAATAGCCTGGGAAAAGCAGTGGAAGACGGCCCGAGTACTAGGACCCTTGCTGCCCATATGGGAGACCCAGAAGAAGCTCCTGGCTCCTGGCTTCAGCCTAGCCTAACCCCAGCTGTTGCAGCCACCTGGGCAGTGAACCAGCAGATGGAAGATCTCTGTGTCTTCCTTTCTATAGCTCTGACTTAGAAATAAAAAAACATTTTTTAAAAAGGCCCCTCACTTGAAGCCTTCTTATTCTCTCTCATCTGGGATCCTCCTGTACCAAGCAAGGTGCCCAGATCCCTAGGTCCTTCTAATGGTATAGATGAAGATCCATTCATTCAATCATTCATCAACTTCAATCAGCACAAGACCACTTTTGCCCAAATTGTTCCCTTCTCAGTTCCTTGACCACCAAGTTTTATCCAAGCCTCTGTCCAGGTGTTGCTTTCGACACTTCCCAACCAGCAGTTCCAATCTATTCCCGAGAGATGCCGTCACCTCCTTCATCTTGCCAACCTGCAGCTCTGTGCCTGAGAGCCCTGGAAGGCCTTCCTGCACACTCTTCTCACCCATCACTCTGGTGCCCCTTCCACCTCCATTACCATCTGTTTTCCCCAATTCCCTTGGCTTCCAACCCTTAGGAGGGGAGCACTGAACCAAGGATACCACTGCAGGACCTGAGTTCAAGTCTTGCTTTCTGATTGAGGCATGATTGTGCTTGATGCTCTTTTGGGCAAAGGTGGAGGCAGTTTAGCAGCAAATGAATACATGTGGAAGACCTGCCAAGGATCCAGTGGCATAGAGCCAAGAACTAGGTTCAAACTGAGGGGTAGAACAGGTGCCAGCTTAGCTGGGTGGACAAATTTTGCAACTAGAATTCAGAAAAGGAAGCACTCGGGTAGGCTGGAGAGAGCAGGTCGGGTCCACTTGGGGAGATGACACTGGACTGAGTAGGGTGTGGAGTGGGCAGAGGGGATGGGAGGAAGACAGGTGGGTGCCCCTGGATGAAGTGGTGATCTCAACCCAACTGCACTTTGCAATACCCTGTAGGGGCGGGGTCTACTTGGGCTCAGCCTAAAGACACTCCCAAGATTTTCAGATTTCACTGGTCTGGGATGAGGCCCAGACACTTATATTTTGAAAATTTTCCTTTGGGGGCTGGCATTGTGGTGTAGGGGGTTAAGCCACCACCTACGATGCCAGAATCCCATATGGGCACTAGTTTAAGTTCTGGCTGCTTCTGATCCTGCTCCCTGATAATGGCCTGGGAAGGCAGCAGAAGATGGTCCAAGTGTTTGGGCCCCTACCACCCACAGGGGAGATCCAGATGAAGTTTCTGGCTCCTGGCTCCTGGCCCAGCCCTGGCTGTTGCAGCCTTTTAGGGGATGAACCAGCAGATGGATGATCTCTCTCTTTCTCCTCTGTCTGTCTCT